AAAAAAAAAAAAAAAAAAAAGTCCCCAAGAGGAAGAGTTCAGAGTTTACAGGTGTGATTTGTTTTTGAGGCACTGTAGGAAAAAAACATTTCCAAATCTGGATACTATCTCTTGGCATTTTGAAACGGTAGACTTTTATCAAAAACTGCCAAAGGGACCAGGAGAATGGTGAAGTGCCTCCTGTTTTACACACAAAAATTGGGGGAGGATGCTGGAGAGAGAGGAAGAAAGGCTCCTTAATATCTGGCTAAACATTTCTGGTGAGGGCATCGGTGGGAACTTCCCACTCCAGATGTCCCCACAGAGCTGCTCCTCATCACATGAGAACCAAGGCTGACTTGACAATACCAAATAATAAATGCTTCTCCGCCCCACCTGTGACAGACACTGGCCCACAGTCTTCAGTGATGGGCCACCTTCTAGAGTCCCTCAAAGCTGGGACATGCAGAAACAGTAAAAGGACTGGGGAGAAAGAGAGCAAGAGAGAGGGCAGAAACATCATGTTTCAGCCACCCCTGTCCACCAAATTGCTCATTCCAGCCCACCCTGCTCCAATTTTCAGACTTTTTTTTTTTTTAGGACAAAGGAAGGAGACAGCCACAGAGATGACATTGTGGTGAAATTTTCCGAGAGAAAGGAGAAAAGCTAGTGTCACAGAGGAGAGTGTTTTAAGAAGAAGAGGCGGATTTGAAAGGTATCAGGAAACTTCAAATGGGATGAGATCCAAGTAAAGGCCATTACGTTTGGGATTTAGGACTTTGATGACTGCCATAGAGAGAGCAATGGATGATGAGTGCAGGGTCCTCTGACTCAAAAGCTCGGTACACATTCCCTTTTTATTAAATTCTATGGAGATTGTCATTTCTTACCTCTTGGAATACAAAAATTGGACTGCTTTTGTTTTTTTCACACTCAGAAATATTGCTATCAGATGAAAAAGTGTAGTTGCCAGTTTCTTCCCATATTCTCCGATAAACATATTGCGTTGTCAGTGGACTGGTCAAAGTCATAGCAAATGCACTAAGTAAAATGGCAGGTTCTACAAATAAAATCTTCATATTGCCTGCGGAGGTAGCTGTATTCTATAGAAGGAGAAAGTGGAGAAAAATCATCAGTCTCATCCCAGAGCCTAGATATTCAAAGATGGGGAAGTTTGAGCAATTTTGTGGAGTAAATGTTTCAACAAGCAAACTAGAGAATGGAAAAGGCAGTGCGTACTTTCTCAGAGAATAACTTTTACTTTGGAGTTGAGTGCCCTGTAGCACCTGAGGCTGCCATGCTTTCCATTTTTATGATTAGGACATTGCAGGACTCAAGCCGCCTTTGAGTCTGAAATAATAAACTGTCACCCATCTTGATTAGCCAATGATCACAGTACAGTTCCCACACTGTATATTGCCAGCGGGTTTTTCATAAGTTCAACAATGAGGTTCCTTTTGGGAAGCGACCGTTGCACAACTGTTATTGTTATTTTGCTGCCTGTTAACAACAGACAGGGAGGGGACCTTTTAAAAAGCAGCTTCCAATCGGAAGGGCCTTATTTTTAACTCACCCCACGATTACAGTCTTCCTGCCAGGCTGGGCGCAGGTCGGGCCGTGCCCGGGGCCGTCGCCTCGGATGCCCTGCACTCGCGCGCGCCCGGGTTAAAGAGCAGCCTCTGCGCTGGGGCAGCAGAGGACGCGCCGGGGACAGTACCTCGGCGGGGGCGGGGAGCCCGGGCTACGCGGCCGGCGCTGGGGTGGGGAGGGGACTTTCCCGTCGAATTCGACCAAATTACGCTTGTCCGGGAGTCTCAGGCGTATTTTAAAGCAGACCACGACAAGCACACTTCCGCGTCCCGAGTGACACCTGCACGGTTCCCGGCGCAGCCTTCGGCTCCCCCGCGGCCCTGCGGACTCGGCCTCGGCGCGGGGCGGTGGGGCGCGGGGCAGCTGCTGCTCCCACACGGTGGGCAGTCGGCCGATCGGTTCCTCTGCCGGTCGGTCCGCGGCCCGGCCAGCGCTCGGCGGTGACGCTGCAGCAGCCAGCTGGGCATCACTGCCGCCGAGGAGGCGGGGTCGGCTGCCGCCTGCGCGGTCACGGTCCCTCCCGGCTCTCCTGCGATTGGGCCCTGAGGCCGGTGCCCTGCGGCGATTGGTCTGCCCCGACGTCACTCGCCCCACGAGAGTGGCTAGTGGATCGTGCACCCTCCCTCGGAGGCCGGGAGTGGATCCTGCGCGAGCGAGCCGCCACTCTGCACCGCTGCTGCGTGCTGGGCCGCGCCGCAGGCTCAACAGCTCTGGAGTTGCAAAGCATTTCTGAACCCGAATATCGTTTCCCATACAAACACGTGAAAGATCTGTTGCAAAAGTAACGTGTTTGCGCTATAGCTCCTAGCAGAATCCCGGTCCGCCGGGCTGGTGCCCGCAGAAGAGGGGAGTGGGCGCCCGCAGAGGGTATAGGAAAGAGGGTGCTCAATGCAGAGTTAGCGGAGGGTTGGATTAAGCAACTCGTTAAATTTTCATGAACCTCCATATCTTTATCTGCCAAGTGTGGATATTAACAGTCTTACAAGGTTATATAATTAAACCCTCAGTGTGTATACACAGCATAGCCCCTGGGCATAGGGGGAGCCGTCAGTGCTCTTCAACACACTCACCAGGAACACGCTTGTAGCAACTGAATTGAGCTATTTATTACTTCTTGAAGCCAGGAGGAATGCGTGCGTGAGGACCGCGGTGGCATCTCAGTAAGAAGGTGTTAGAATTTATTATGGGCTTGTGTTATGTGGTTTTGGGAAGAGTTCAAGAAAGCAAGGCCTTACTCTGGATTGGTTGCTGTCAGGAAGTGGCGGTAATTCCATGACTGGGTATCTTAATAAGTCTTATTTAGAAGGAGTCAAGTCTAGACAGAGACTTAAGCCGTGAATAATAAAGAACCAGCAGTCACACGTATTTGTCATTTTTGTAGTTAATGCCTAAATGTTGTTTGTGTTGACAAAATTATGATGTGGTCTTGTTTTTGTCTTGATCGTGGTTACAGAATGCCCTTGTCTGACTTCGGTATTCTATGAAATTGTTTTCATTGGACAGAACACCATGGTCCGGAAAAGCTCTTAGCAACACCAAGGCCCAGCAGATAGCTCCAGGTCAGCACCTGGATGTCAGAGCTGCTTTCTCTTCCTCAGCACTCCTTAAATGACAGTTATGTCACTGAAGGTAGAGTTAAACGTCTTAGGTTTGAGTCCTGATTGCTACTTAGTAGCTGGTAACCTTGGACTTGCCACTTAATCTTACTTCTCAGCTTCTTCAAATCAGCATTTATGAAGCACTTGTTAACAGTTTCAAACAATGGAGCATAGATATTGAAAAGAAGGTATACAAACACAAATAAATGAATAAGATGCGGTTTGCAAGGAAGACATAATATTTTAAATTGCAGTAGTTTGTGCTAAGTACTAGATAATTCTAATGTTATTAGAA